TTTCAAGGGATTATAGATTCCGTTTTATTTTCAATCTCTAGCACAAGGTAGGTACTGAATAAATGCTCACTGAATGTAATTGAAATTCATTTGCACAGTTGCAAGATACATTAAATCATATTCTAATTTGATGCGTAATCACCCTGTGAAACAAGTATTATTGTTAATATCATTATACCCATATTAAAAATGGGGAAACGGAAGCTCAGAAGCATCTGAGAATTCTTTTCAATTGGTGATACTCAGGGGTTATTTACCAGGTTTTCCATCAAACAGTTGACTGTTGTTCCTCTTTGTTTTTCTTTATAATTTCTGCAAAGTTTTCACCTTAATGGCAGAGCCTTATGTGGGTCTCTATCCCTAGCATGAGGTTTGTCAGGCGTAGATGCTTGTAATTGTTGATTTGAATTTAATCTCCACTTCTATATGTAGAAGCTACGTCTGTTACTACTCTAGGGAAGTATTTGAAAGATTTGCTTAAAAGTTGCTTATGATTAAGTCTACTTTCATTCTGTCTGAATATCACCCAAATATACTCTCATTTTTTTATTACTGGTGGGATGCCTTGGAGAGACAGAGACAGAGACAGGTGCAGAGACAGAGACAGGGACAGAGAGACTTGAATCTTTGAGAAAAGAAGGACATGGGAAGTAGCAGGGTAACAGGACCCTGCCTGAGAGAGAATTCTTTCTTTGTACTGACACCAGAGAAATGCAGGGCTGTCATGTGAGGAGCGGTTATACTCTGTGTATCAGGTAAGGCAGAAAAGAACGGACTAAGGTTCAAGGAAAGGAGGAATTAGAAGGGGCCAAGTGATTGAAATCAACAAAGTGAACGGGCCAAGAAATATGAGAAATGGAGAGGAAGGAAAGGCTGAGAGGGTGCTCTGTTGATAGCATTTAAAAGAGAGTAAGGAATGCAAAGTGACCTGCTGTGAAGGAGCCACAAGATACCATCTGTATTCTTTTTCCTGTGAGACACTTTCTTCTGAAAAGGATTGTCATCATTAAACCCCAAATGCCACTGCAGGATTTTTTTGGTGGTATTGCTTTTAAAATGTAGACTAGAATTTTATTTTCAGAATTTGATTAATTTGTGATAACATTCTGGTATTTTGTAAAACTGAAAAATGCCAAGTCATCCTGTCAAGAGAGAGAATAAGTCAAGAAGCTTGAGTGTTTTTCCCTATCATCACGGTTGCTGATTTCAATAGAGAATCACCCACATCCAAGAAACATTTCCTGGTATTGGGAGTGGGTTTCATATCATGTTTTGAGCTAATACAATTTTCTGGTCAAGAGTGATATGCGTCTGATAAAAATGACAGCTGTCGTAACAATTTGTCGTATTCTCCTTGCAGCAAGTTCCTTTCACTCATGAGTCTGTTATTATTGAAGAAGAATTTAGTTGTAGGTAAATGACCCTTACCTTCTGTTTTTAATTGAAACGCAGACTGCCACAGTTAATATGTTTTGTGACTCAATAAATCTTGGAAGAAAAACCTAATGTGCTGTAAAAGCAAAGAAAAAAAATTAATTGGTTTCAGCACACATTTTCTATGCAAACAATTCCTTGCTTTCATATAGAAAGAGCTCTCTTGACTTTTTTTGTTTATTTGGAAGGGAGTGTGAGATTTATAATCACTCTATGGACATGGAGTGTGGACTTGATGTATGTTATTAGGAAAAGAAGTGCAAGAGGAACTCACTGAAAGGGCTAGTTTTGTTTGTTTTATAAGTAATTCACATTCCTTGCAGGAAAATCTGAAAATCTAAAAAAGCAAGAATAGGAAAAAATATTTCAATTTACCCACTATCTTACCACCCAGATTTAGCCACTATCAATCTTTTGGTGAAATTCATCTGGAGTCTAGACTTTGTTTTTCAATGTATATACATATATGAATAACAATATGTTAGAAAGAGAGAGAGAGACAGAGAGAGAGACAACACAGAGAGACAGAGATTTGTGTGTATTATTAGTTAGATACATAAAAAATTTAAAACCACAGAAATACCAATTTTTATTAATTGTAACCTTGGCAACTGGCATTTGTAGAAGGTGTTGAGACTGCAGTGTTAAGTAATAAAATAGTCCCCCTTTATCTGCAGTTTTGCTTTCCCAGGTTTCAGTTACTTATAGTCAACCACTGTACAAAAATATTAAGTGGAAAATTACAGGCATAAACAATGCATAAGTTTTAAATTGCACGTTGTTCTCAGTAGTGTGATGACATCTCACAGCATCACGACTAGGACATGCCGTATTCCTTTGTCCAACCTATCCATGCTGTAGACGCTCCCTCCTAGCTCCTTAGTCATTTAGTAACCATCTTGGTCATGAGATGGACTGTAGCAGTAACACAGAGCTTGTGTTCAAATAACCCTATTTTACTTAATAGTGGCCCCAAAGCGCAAGAGTAGTGATGCTGACAATTTGGGTATTCCAAAGAGAAGCCATAAAGTGCTTGTTATGTGTAGTATGGTCAGAAGGTCAATAGTAACCCAATACTACGTTGCTCACCTCACTTCATCTCATCATGTGGGCATTGTATCATCTCACATCATCTAAAGGAAGGGTTAGTACAGCCTGGCCGGGCGTGGCTCAGCGGCTGAGCATCGACCTCGGATCTAGGCAATCAGGGTTCGATTCCTGGTCAGGGCACATGCCCAGGCTGTGGGCTGCAGCCGATCAATGACTGTATCATCATTGATGTTTCTATCTCTCTCTCCCTCTCCTTTCCTATCCCTGAAGTCAATAAAGATATATTTAAAAATAATAATAATAAATAAATAAAGGAAGGGTTAGTACAGTACAATAAGATATTTTGAGCACTGGCTGGTGTTGCTCAGTGGTTAGAGCATTGGCCCACACTCAGAGGGTTCGAGGGCTCCATTCTTGGTCAAAGGCATGGCAGTAGGGGCACATGCGGGGTGGGGGTGTGTGCACAAGGCAGCCAGTCGATGTGTCTCTTTTACATCGATGTTTCTCTCTCTCATTCTCTCTCTCTCTCTCCCCCTTCTTCCCCCCTTCCTCCCTTCCACTCCCTCTAAAAATCAATGGAAAAAATATCCTCATGCGAGGATTAACAACAGCAAAAAGATATTTTGAGAGAGACCACATTCACATAGTTTTCATTACAGTATATTGTATTGATGTTTCTATTGTATTAGTAGTTATTATTGTTAATCTCTCACTGTACCTAGTTTATAAATTAAACTTTATCAAAGGTATGTATGTATAGGAAAAAGCATAATATATATATAGGGTTGGGCACTATCCACGGTTTCAGGCACCCACTGGGTGTGTGTCTAGGAACGTATCCCCATGGATAAGGGAGTACTACTGTACCTGATTCCTACTGCCATTTTAGTCTTTTCTAGATCCTAGATATCAGGGCACCAGCTCATACCTGTAACCAGATCTGAATTTCCCAGAGCAAATCTAGGAAACACCAGGTTCCCGAGATGCTCTGAGAAAAAAAGATTCCTTGGTCATTAAGTTAGGGAAATGCTGCATATTCTCTCCAGTCTTTGAGAATCACAGATGGTCATTTGGGATTAAAAAAATATTAAATTAAATTAATTAATACATATTAAATATGTGATTAAAGCATGTAAAGGCTCTGAGAAGTCCTATTGTAAAGTACCCTATTTCACTTTCACCCCAAATTTAACTGAACTCTTTTTTATTTTATTAAAAAAAATACATATTGCCCTGGCTGTGTGGCTCAGTTGGTTGAGCGTTGTCCCTTGCACCAAAAGAATGCAGGCTTGATTCCCAATCAGGGCACATGCCCAGGTTGCGGGTTCAGTCCCTGGTCTGGGTACATGCAGAGGCAACTGATCAATGTTTTTCTCTCTCGTCAATGTTCCTCTCTCTCTCTCTCTCTCTCTCTCCCCCCCTCTCCCTTCCTCTTTCTCTAAAAATCAATAAAATATATTTTAAAAAATTAAAATAAAAAAATAATACATAGTGACAGTTCTATGAAAATTTTACACATATATATAGATTCATGTAACCACCACCACAATCAGGATGTAGAACAGTTTCATCACACCCCAAAACTCCCTCATACTAACTCTTTATAGTCACATCCCCTACTCCCCAACCCTTGGGAACTATCAACCTATTTTCCACCTAAACGGTTTTATTTTTTACAAGAATGTTATATAAATTGAATTATGTACTGTGTAACTTTTGAGACTGTCTTCTTTCACTCAGGTAATACCTTTGAGACTCATCCATGTTGTTGCATGTATCAGCAATTAGGTCTTTGTTATTGCTGAGTAGTATTGCATGGTATGGGCATACCACAGTTTATCTGTTGAAGGATATTTGGGTTGTTTCCAGTCTTTGGTGATTATGAATAGAGTTGCTGCATACAGATTTTTGTGTGAACATAAATTTTCACTTCTCCAAAATGAAACAAACTCTTTTTTTCTTTTTTTTTGTTAATCTTCACCTGAGGATATTTTTTTCCGTTGATTTTTTTTCTTTTTTTAGAGAGAGTGGGAGAAAGGGAAGGAAGGAATGTGAGAGATACACATCTGTTGGTTGCCTCCTGCACACACTCTGACTGGGGCTGGGGATTGAACCTGCAACCCAGGTACATGCCCTTCACCCTTCCGTGTGAAGGCTGATGATCTATCCACTGAGTCACACCAGCCAAGGCTGAAGCAAAATCTTTTTATTTGTTTAACACCTAGTAAGATCCCACATGACCAATATTTCCAGAACATACTATTAGCATCCTCTAGACCTAGTATTCCACAGAATGCACTTTGGGAACTAAAGCTTCAGGAAGGCCTTGAATGCTGGGACTCAACTCAATGCTGTTTTTGAAAATCAAATCCATCTCAAATTCGTCCCACACACCCAAAGTTTACTTAGGCTCAGCCAGGACTCCCACCACACTCCCATTTGTTGAGAACCTACCTTCAGACATTTGTGTTATGATCTCATTTAATTTAACCCTCACAACAATCCTGATTTTGCAGATGAGGAAATCGAGGCCCAGAGAGGTTAAATGACGTGCTGAAGTTCCCACAGCTGGTAAGTAGCTGAGATTTGAACCTTTATGTCTTATCTCCAAGTTCAGTGCTTTTTCTGCTACATCCTCTACCTGCCTTTCCCTCTTTGAATGTTTTTAAAATTTCTTTCTGGGTCTGTAGTCAGTTGCCTTAGACCAGGATTGGCAAATAAGAAACACAAGTGCTGTCACTTCCTGTTTCCACGCTCATGGCAGATGTCACTGATTTAATTCCATTTTCTCTTCCTTGCTCAGCCTCATGCAGCTTTCTCCAGACAACTGTCAGTTGACTAGAGTTAGCATTTGAGCTAATAGCCATTTGTTACTTTGTTCTTAGACTTTGTATTAGTTATCTATTGCTGTGTAACAAACTATCCCAAGACACAGTGGCTTAAAATGGTAAAAATTATTTATGATCACTCATAATTTATATGGGTCCAGAATTCATATAAGGCTCAGCAGAATGGCTGTCCCTGCTCCCCCATGTCTCAGGGCATATTCAGTTGAAAGACTTGGACTGAGGCTGGACTGAGTCATCTGAAGGCTTGTGTCTAGTGGTTGATTCTGGTTGTTGGCTGAGGGCCTAACTGGGTCTATAGTCTGAATATCCTCATGTGTCCTCACTATGTGACCTGGGCTTCCTCACAATGTGATGCCTTGGTTCCAAAGGCTAGAATCTTGAGAAAGTGCATACCATCACAGAGCATCCCTTCTACCACATTCTGTTTCTTAGAAATGAGTCACTAAGTGTTGGCCATTTTCAAGGAGCAGTAAATTACTCTACCTTTTTAAAGGGAGGAGCATTAAATAATTTGTAGACATATTTTAATACTACCGGATTTAAGCATATATTGGACATAGCTGGTGTTTGTGCAATATTCTTTGCGTGGTCCTCATATAGCACTATGAATAACTATGTGTTGGAATTAAGGTTTTTGTCGGTACCTTTGGGAGCTAATATTATTCAGAGCCTTATACACAGCAAACCCACACTAAACAGGTGCTGAGTTGGAGAGGATTACCTTGGGATCTTAACCTCTCTGCCCTTCCTTGGGTCTTAAAGACAACTTCCCCTAGTCAATGAGAGGTTTGGCTAGACCCAGAGATAAGACCTCTGACAGAAAAAGCTGAGGAAAGTACATTTAGGGCTTGTTCCTTGTGTGTAATCCCACAAAACAATGCTGTGCCTTTAGCACTTCTGTCTGTATTTTCATTATTCAGTGCAATTTTTGTGCACAGTGAATTAATAAGAACTCTTTCAGAAAGTAAGAGATAACCAAAAGAGATTTATTGGTTCACTTAACTAAGAAGTTCAAGGGGATGAATTTGTCATGACAGGATCCAGGGCCTCAAAGAATGTTCTTGGAATACAGTTTCTTTCTCTTCTGGTCTGCTTCTGTATTTTAGCCCTACTTCCTGCTCTGTTGGCTTTAGTTTCAGGTGAGCTGTCCCTAGGAGGCAGTCCAGATGGGCAGCACCATTCCCAAACTTACATTCTACTGGCTTCATAAGCCCAGTAGACCAAATTGTGTCTTTTTCTATAGTTCCAGAAAGTGCCAAGGTTGACGCTTGTCACAGTCTGTTTGAGGTACTATAACAAAATACCACAGAAAGGGCAGCTTATAAACAACAGAAATTTATTTCTTACAGCTCTGGTAGCTGGAAGTCCAAGATCAGAGTGCTCGCAGATTTGGTGTGGTAGCTGGTGAGGGCCTGCTTTTTGGTTTATGAATGGCCCCTTCTTGCTGTGTCTTCACATGGTGGAAGGGGCAAGTGATCTCTGTGTGGTCTTTTTAAAAAGGATACTCATCTCATTCATGAAGTCTCCACCCTCATGATCTAAGTACCTCCCAAAAGTCCCACCTGCTAATACCATCTATGGAGGTTAGGATTTTAACATATGAATTTGGGGGGACACACAAACATTTAGACCATAGCAACGCTGATTGACCTATGCTGGGTCACGAATTCACCTCTAATCCAATCACTGTGACATGGAATCCTGGCCTGGCTTATAGACAGTTAGTCCCTCTTGAGCCCATGAACTAATATTGGGGTAATTTGTTCCTCAAAAGAATGAGATGGATTTTGTTATCAGAAGAGGGCATGCCAGGTGGAGGTAACAAATGACTTGCCTTTTACCCTGAGGACATGCTCTCCCATTCTCGTCCTCGCTTTCCATTCAGCTATGTTTTGACTCCTCTGCTTGTAAGCTCTGAGTTTCCCAGAACAACTGAAAGGCAAATACACCTTTTCATAGTCTTAAGGTCTAGCTCCTGACTGCTGATGCCTTAGTTTACTACCATGACTCCCTGCATTCCTGATTCCTAGTCTGCTCAGGATTTGAGGGGCACAGAACATTTTGATTTTGGTCTTAACTTTCTGGACTCCTAACCTGTTTTTCATAGGCAGGATATGATTATTCCTTGACCTGTGGCCTTGAGTTTGGGTCTCTTGACTCCTTGTCTCTGGTGTTTATAAACCTACTGACCCCTCACTTCCCTTGCATCCTGTCTTGGTTTATTTTAGCACTCTGCCTTGTTACCGTACATGTCTTGGTTTAATAGTATCTTTTGGGCCAAGTAATTTCCTAACACACATCCACTGATCCATGTAATGGGCTATGCTTTCTCCATTGACGGGCCACCTTCTCTCCCTTCTTTTTTTGGAGGACAACCTGAGATACAGTGTATGGGAGTCAGAACCAGAAGTCCTGAATTCAAAACCTCGCATATGTGACTTTAGGCAAGGATTCTAATCTCTTTGAGCCCCAGTGTTCTCATCTTTAAAATGTGTAGAATAATGTCTGCTTCACAGGATTGCATTGAAGACTATATAGGAGAATGTAGGTATTGCAAGATAATAATAGGTAATTCTAAAATGCTAATATGTGTGTATTTATTTAAAATTAATTTATTTTTTCTTTCTTCTAAGCATCTTCCCTTTATGTAGTTTTCCCCATTCAAGTAGGTAGTCCATTCTGTGCTCATTAACTTAGGGAAGGAAATGTCAGAGCAGAAAAAACAAATAGGAATCTTTCTGGCTTTGGTTTTCAAAAGCCTAAAGCCCTTAGGGGGATATTAAGAGCCCTGAACATGGCCAAAATGAGTGAGAGCAAGGGGTTTGAAGAGAGACATGCCCCTTCCGACTGGCAAAGATTCCACTGTTTTGGGTAGAGGAGAGGGATAGGATGAGGAGGAGAGACAGAGAGGTGTGATGAAAGAAGATATGCATTACATCCCCAAGCGAGAGGGGCCTTGTGTCCTGCTTTCTGGATACAGCACTGGGAGCAGAAAGGACATGGCCTGCAGATTCCATGTTTCCAAGTGTGACCCAGAAATGGTGCCAGCTGGAAGGGATCATACAGTCTAGGGGTGAGGGACATGTCAGTGATGATCAGTGAGGATTTAAGCATATGGGCCAGACAAGGTAGTGATGATTTCAATGGATAACTACATGGATAGATGACAGCAAGCACAGGAATCTACCCTCCACACCTCTCCCCCACCATGATTCTCTGTAAACACCCAGACTTAGTGGCATTCCCTGAAAGTGGGAGGAAGACTTTGAATTAGCTGAGGTTATATTTTTTGCCACTCTAATGGAATAGGGTGCTGAAGATGAAGTTGAGTTATAAAAATATTATTTTGTATGTAAGTGTGTGGTAGACTCACAGCCATAACCACTACCATAAAAAGCACTCAGCCTGTGTCTGTATGTAAGTACCAAAATATGTTTATGGAGTCTGAATCCAGAAATTATTGAGCCTTTGACTATATCTAATGTCCTGCTTGGTGTCTGAAGCCTGGGACAGCCACTTGCTACAGCAGGGGTTCTCAAAAGATGGTCCCTGGACCAGGGGCATCAGCACCATTGGGCATTTGTGAGAAATGCACATTCTCAGGGCCTCCCCCAGAATTACTGAATTAGGAACTCTTCCAGGCCATTCTAATGCATGCTAGAGTTTGAGAGGCACATCTCTACATCATTTCTGTTACCTCATCTTACTTACATCCTCAGTTTCTCAGGCTTATTCCAACACAGTCATCAGCTTTGGGCCAGCCAGATATTTTAAGTTTCTCATATGAGGGCAGGAGAGCTTCTCATTTCCCCCAGAGTTTTCCTCACAACCATCCCAGTTTTATTTCACTTCATTGAGGATCCAGTTCCTGGGAAGGAAAATACAGGGGAGATGGGGAGGAGATCCTTTAAGTAAATGGAGAGAGGGAGTCATAGGCAAACACAGTCTAAACCTTTACTAAATCTGAAGGAGCTGGTGAACTTCAGAGGGAATGATTCTGTGGCCAGGCAAGGTCCTAGGGAAATTTATGGCAGAAACATTTCCTTGTTTCTGGGTCAGGAAATGATAGCACACAGATGGAATTTACAATGGGAGTATAATGGAGTGGCCCCACCCAGGGGCTCAGCAAAGGCTCCTTTCACTGGCTCTGTTCAAATATAATGAGTGCTCCCCAGGCTCTTCTGGCTGGCTGCTTTTTCTTTTTCCTCGACTGCTTTCACTTTTTCACAGAGGACTGCCCCAATTGCTGGCCACTTGGGACTGGGGTGAGCCTTGATTTGGCAGGAGAAAGGAAGAAGTACACGGTGGCCTACTAAATTGAATCACTCTGCTTCCCTGGCCCTTTCCTTGAATAATAGGCCTTTGTGCTTCGAAATGTAGGGAAGTCCCAGTTTCCCAGGCTTTTAAAAAACCAAAACCTTCCTCCAACCTCCTCTCTGCCTTTAAGATGCTTAGCAGGGAGTAGTTAAGGGACAGAACAATTATTAAATCAAATGTTTATTGAATAATTTTTGAAATTGCTTGGACTGTTGACTTCTCAGCAAATATATTTGATGCATTCCTTCAGATGGACAGAAGTATTGGATCAGCTTAAAAATCCTGCGTAAAAAAATCACATGGGACAAATCACTACATTAAAAAACCCCAACAAAACAGAACCTTTTTCCTCCCTCTAAATTGCATTACCAGAGAGGAATTCAGACAGTGTTTGGAGTCTGTTGT